GTGTGTGTGTGTGTGTGCACCTGCACCTTTATGGCTGTGCAGCAGAAACCTTTTATGGTGTGTTGCCCGTATAACTGCATTAACATGAAATACATTCAACTCACTTTTGTCTGTGCCTCTTTTTTCGTGTATTGTAAACAAGGACCTTATGAACCAGTCACCTCTGCCTCTGTACCACAGGTGCCTGCTGGGAAAAAAGTGCGTCTGAAGTTTACAATGTTCCGCATGAAAGAGCCAGGGGTTGACATCCGTGAGTGCCACAAAGACTATGTGGAGGTTATGGGCACCAAGTAAGACCCTCATCATCTTTATTGTTCACCTTGTCTCCTTTATTCCCCGATTGAAGAAAAAGAAAATTATTCCTTTATCTCTTTTTATTGTTTATCCCAGCAGCAAATGGCAGAGCCGCTCGTGTAGTTATGAGAAAACCATTCAGTTCAATATAGAGTATGTCCAACAGAAACAAATGGTAATGTTAATATAATAACTTTAACTGTCTCCTATGTTTGATTGTTGTTCTGTTGGTTACATTTGACCTCCGGTCCCGTTCACTCAATAAAACTTTCACTCCTTTAAAGGAGCAATCCAGCAATCACACCGTCCACCTTAACATGGGTTTTCTTCTCATTCCTCTTGTTGGAAAATGCAGTCCAGCCCATGTAAATCAAACCTTTGGGGGCAGGCTGTCAGAATAAGCTAGCTGCCTTGTCAGTACGCCCAAAAGATAATTACAAATGCTGCGTAACATGAACTTCGTCTTAATGAATGAGAATAAAGTTGCATGTATATGACTTTATTTTCGTGACATGTATTAGTGTTTACACAGGCTGTTGTGTAATTGGATGGATTTCCACTGTGGGTCTGTCCTGTCATACCTGTGGTCACAGCAGGTCTGCTCCACACCCATCAGTCTGATGTCTCCATGAACCTGTTGAAATCTTTGATGCCTTCTTTCTTCATCCAAACAGTGATTGTCTGTGGCCCGCCTCCTTCTTCTGCCACCATTGGTTCACTTGAACCAGCTGCAGTATCCACCTCTGTCAGACCACTGTCTGGATGAAGTTTATCCTGCCCTTTCACAACCCGTAGTTGTGTCACTTGAGGGTTGGTTCGTATTTGTGTTTGGAAATGTCAAACACAAAATGAACAAATATGGCCACTTGACTCGATTTTTTTTTTCCTGTAACTTTATCCTCAACAAGCTGGCCATGTGCGACATGACCACTGGTCATTAAAGAAATACAGAGTGAACCAAGGAATATCCTAATTAGAGTCTAAATTCCAAATTTGTTTCTTTCACGATGAGTGTGTTGATTACTGAGAACATTCCAAATTTGAATACATTCCTATGTTTTGGTCTAAATTCTTCAGTTACCTCCTCTTTTTTTTTTTGCTGCTGTATGTGCTTTTAAATTTACAACGCATAATGTGTCATTTTTGTACTTGAATAGTACTTGAAACAACGCTCCTTTGCCACAGGTACTGTGGAGAAATGTCGTCATTGTCTCTGACCAGCAGCACCAACGCCGTGGACTTGACCTTCCACTCTGACGAGTCCTACACCGACAAAGGCTTCAGCGTTCAATACAGCGCATTTGATCCGACAAACCGTGAGTTGAAAATTGTGACAGGGCCCCCACGCTGACACAACGCTGGCTTAGATGGCTGACATGTTGTGATGTGACAGTGACACTCATAGCCTGCCATTACAGAGCAACACAGGGGAAGTAAGTGTGCAGTCGGAGGGACTCCAGGACGCGGCTGACTGACAGTCAAATAGAGCCGTTTCCTTGGACTCAGACACGGTTCGCAGTGAAACTCAAGAGTGAGGCTAATCACTGCCGAGCTTGTTTATTGGGTCCATTTTATTTGCCACTGTCAGTCACCAGCACTCTGCTTTCACTATAGCCTGCACTTTTTTTATGCCGTCTAGTGGTTCGACTGAAATGGATTTATAATTGGTTAAATCAACAGGGACAGGCATTGTCTACATGACAGATGTTGTAAAAGAACACTGCCACTCGCCTTCGCTCGATTTGTCTTCATCCTCTCTCCCAGCTTTTTATGCTCTATTCTCTGACTTGTGAACAGCTTGCCCCGACATGTTTGCTTGCGCCTCGGGCATCTGCATCGGCAAAGAGATGGCGTGTGACGGCTGGAACGACTGTGGCGATATGAGCGATGAGATGGATTGTAGTAAGTTTACCTTTGACCCAAACGTATTTATATCCTTACTGTTCTTTTGATTTACTATATACCATTGTCAGGGATGGCTTAAGAAAATAAAATTTGATATTTGTCCGTCAACTATGCAAAAACTGGAAGCGAACGTAGACTATAAATAGCATAGACCACAGACTGTTCTCTGGTTTCAGTCTTTAATGTGGAATAACACTTATATAGAAATGTAATCCTGTCACTCAGTCAGACCTTTTTTATTTTTTTGAAGAACGATCCCACACTTTTTTGACACTCCATTTATATTTATGCATTCAGACACTTTTATCCAAACAGATTTTCAAGTGGGGAAGGTACCATTAGATGGTCCCTTTGGGAATCGAACCCAGGTGGACCAGTACCTCTTTCTTTCCCCAGACTTTTTGTTTGTTTGCTATATATATATATAATTTTGTTAAAGCATCCGACCTCCTTTGAGTTGCATATGACACCTACAAGGTCTGTTATCCACCAGTTGAATGCCCAACCAGTAATAAAAAAACCCTGGTAGTGGTCCAGAGTGTGGTTTAGGACGGGGGCTCTGGTAGTGGTCCAGAGTGTGGTTTAGGATGGGGGCCAAACCTTTCTATACCAAGGGCCCCCAAAGAGCATTAGCTCCTGGCCCGAAGACCCCTTTGAAATATCCAGACAATGCTACAATATATGTTTTTAAAAATCTACGCTTATAATGTATTTTCTTACTTTTATTCATTTTTCACAAAAAGAATAAAAAGAAATCAAACCTTGTGCCCCTGAGCGTGTGTGTGCATGTGTGTGTTTTGGAGTGACAGACTTACCACTATTTGGAGGGTTGAGCTTGGTGGCTCTTGTACAGTTCTCTCTCTTTTTTTATTTTTTTTATTTTCTTACTTCCATTTTTCTGAGGCGCCCCCTGGTGGTTCCCGCTTCAAACCACTGGTTTAGGAGTTTATTTTGTATTTTTTTGGTTTTCTTTTGCCCATTTGTGGATAATCTTGAATTTCAATCCATTCCATTGTTTAATTCACATAACTTGTCAAATAAAATAAAATAAATCTGAATACTTTGTGTCATCTCAGAATGTGAAAAGGACCAGTTCGCCTGTAAAAACGGCCTGTGCAAACCGAAGCTGTGGGAGTGTGACCGCGTCAACGACTGCGGAGACGGCAGCGATGAGAAAGGGTGTGGTAAGTATCCCTGTCTGTGTAAGTGCTCTTCAGGGGATACAACCTCTTTCTAATGCTATGCTAATTGTGCTAACATTAAAGAAACATCACTGCTAATGCTCCGGTCACTGACTGCTGGGCTGTGTGCAGTCATTATTCTATTCCGTAATGGAGTTTGTTTGAAGCCTCAGCCAATTTGCCCTGCATCTGTCCAGACCTTTAATCATGTGTGATACACACAAGAAGAATGGAGACAGATGCTAATGTCCACCGTGGCTGCACCGCTAATGTCCTTCTGAGGCTTATTGCCTTTCCTCCTTATTCACATTTTCACCTTCGTATTATCATATGATTGTCATTATAACGTCTCATTGCCTCCAGGTTGTGAGGAGAATGAGTGGTCCTGCGGGAACGGCGTCTGTCTGCCTCAGGATGTCCGATGCGACAACAAAAAGGACTGTGAGGACGGAAGTGACGAGGCCTCGTGTATAAACTGTAAGCGGCCGATTACACATGTACAGGGAGAGTCTGACAGGAAACTGTGGGGTCTGTGGAAAAGCAATTTTAATTTTTTCTAAAATCTCCATCCTGCAGGGGGTGCTAATACTACAGTTTGATATCACTAGTTAATTTAACTACATTATTTCTTCTTCTATTCTCTGGTTGCCAATATAATCGCTGACCTCCAATAACGTTTGTCAAACTTGTAACTGCACTTTTTGATGCTTCAATTAGAAAGTATCGTATTTAACCCATTCAGTGCCACTTAAAGTAAAGTTTAAAGAAAATCCAATGACACTTATTATGTTTTGGCTCATCTCGATGAAGCTAATCCTAACAACCTTCCATTGTTATGGGTTCTTCTCTATGGTTTAATGCTGGCACATATTAAATTACATTAGTGCCACCTAGTGGCTCAATATTTAGGGCCGAACAACCGCTTAGGAAAGAGTAGACAAAACAAAAAAAACACAGCAGGGGGCAGCATCACTGTGAAGGATGTATTTCCTGTCAACAAGGCCTCTGCACAGCAACTTTATACATCAATCAAAAAAAATGAAATATATTAAACCTGTGGCACGTCATCACCGCCCTCTGTTATCTTTAATTCATGTTGTGTTCAGCCTCCTGTTGAAACTGACAGTACCTGTCCAAAACAGAAATGTTTTTTTGTGGCTCAACTTTAGATTTATTTATTTATTTTTACCATTGAAATGCTCTGTTTTGATTATGGGATGTGCTTTTGCCTCACTGCAGCTCCAGGCATCTGCTCTGCCTTCAGCTTCAAGTGCAATAACAATGACTGTGTCAACAAGGTGAACGCTGAATGCGATCGCATCAAAGACTGCTCAGATAACTCTGACGAAGAGTACTGCAGTAAGTGATTTCTAATTCAGTTCACTCGTGGCATTTAATGTTTTCAACAATTGAATTTATTCTGTCTAGTGTTATTTAGATGAAGCCGAGTTAGGTAGAAAATAAAAGCCCCTGGCCTTGGCTGCTCCATATTTGATTAAAAAAAAAAATACACCTTTGCCATCTCTGAAATATTTGTTTCTCATTCATGGCCTCAGGCTGTCTGTTTTTATTCACATGCTTTTCAAATGTAACCCCTAATATTCAGATGATTCCAGCCAGCCTCACCTCACCTGTGCTCTGCTCTCTCCTCCCTTCTCTCCCCCCTCTGTCTATATCGTGTCTCTTTACATGTCGGGCGGTGGCCCCAGGCCCTATAAGCTGAGCCGCATCGGCGGGGGCCAGAATGCAGAGCTGGGGGAGTGGCCTTGGCAGGTCAGCCTTCACTTTATGACTTATGGCCACGTCTGCGGCGCCTCCATCCTCTCAGAGAGGTGGCTGCTCTCAGCTTCTCACTGCTTCGTGACCAGCAACCCGGCGTGAGTCACACATCCAGACACGTGCACCACTCATACACACGGGCGCGGATCAGGCAGTGACTGTTACACGGCAGACTCCTGATTTCTGTGGTCACACGTCTGTTATTCATCTGATGCTTTTCCACTATTTTAGATCAGCGAGGATGATCACAGACCAATTCATGCGTACACGGTGCTATACTCAGAAGTGACCCATAGGTGGAGCACTCACCATGCTGTTCGCCCCTCAGCCGCCGCTCCTGGTGATTGAATGGGGAAACGTTTTACTCCTCACAGTGCCACAGCTGCTGTGTTTTTGTAAAACAAACAGCCATCACTTTATCTGTCAACATTCTTAGAATTAAACATCATACACCAACAGTTCTCCGCCGCACACACACAGACACACGCCGCCGACTGTACTTCTGTAGACACGGTGGTGTCACGGTGAACCTGACGGCAGGTGTTTCCCTCACTGTTCACCGTCTCACGTTGGTAGCAGCAGTGTGTAGTTTGGTGTTCATTTTTATTTGGACAGCTCTACTCTACGGCAATTAACTGTTGAGCTCAAACTCTCTTTTCCATTTTTATTTTTTTTTAAGCTGCCGTCAATGTGGAGATTCAAAATCAGTTGGTCGCACAGAGCAGTATTTGAACTCAGAGTTGCCCAACAAGCAGATCGGAATCGAACAGTACTGTAGATCACAAAGGGAGCGCTGCTAGATCATGAGCAATTAAAAAATTAAAACATATTATATAATATGTGGAGCTTTGGCCCAGAGGCCGTGTCTCTGTCAGCGGTGTGGAACCCCAGGGTTCACCTCAGGGGCAAGATTGAATCCTGGTTAGGGCGGTTGGTACCTTCCAGTGGACTCACCACCTGCAGGAGGGTTCATGAGGGGCTGGTACGGTGCAGTGTGATTTGGGTGGCGGTCATAGAGATGGAAGCAGAAGAAAGCAGATGGATGTAATATATAAAATCAAATTGTGTAGTGTTTAGTAGTGACTATATGTTGTAAGAGTTGGATCATATTGTGCTTTACAGCTTCATGCATTTAATCAGTACTCAAACATATGATGTATATTAAGTATGTTCAGTTCAGCCTGGTCATGATGGAGCAGTGTCTCCCAAGCCAAAAAAGTGTGGACACCCTGTGTTTTAACTAAATGTTTATACATTTAAACCTCGTGTTTTTACGTGTGATTTCCCCGTCCTCGTCACTAGCCTTTTTGCGTTGACTTATATCTTTATTGTTGTTTCTACGTCTCTCTGTTATTTTATCTTTTTGTGTTTTGTTTTTCCTTCCGACCCGAAGCCGAAAATAGTTCCTCTGGTCGTTTCCTGTGAAATGAACCACTTCCCAGTCATGATCTCCAGATATCACTGAGTCCAGTCTGTCTCTACTTTCACTTAATGCTGTCTGGGTTCGCTTCATGTAAAATTGAAAAGACTATACTTGTGGAATTTTCAGCATCAAGGCCAAGCTCGTGTTACACTCCATACACACACACACACACAAACTGCCTTCGCTCATATTGCCTCTAAATAAGTGAACGTAACCTTGGCCCCATCCTGCTCTACATCCTACTACAGGAACCACGTTCCGTCCAATTGGCAGACGTACAGCGGCATGCAGAACCAGTACAAGTATGATGGTGTGCAGCGCCTCCCGCTGAAGAGGATTATATCCCATCCAGATTACAACCAGATGACCTTTGACTATGACATTGCGCTGCTGGAGCTCAGCGAGCCGTTGGAGTTCACCAACACCATCCAACCCATCTGCCTACCATCTTCCTCCCACGTCTTCCCTGCAGGCATGGCCTGCTGGGTCACAGGCTGGGGTGCCCAACGAGAAGGAGGTATTCTACATTTGGTTTCCTGCTGTAACTGACCACGTTTGCATCCTGTTTTTTTTTTTTCTCAATTGGTTTTTTTTTTTTTTTTTTACATTGAACTCGAGTCAAAATGAAAACATCCCACACTCTTTTCATCTCTGCTCTTCTTCAATCTCACTAGTTTCATCACCTTCTGTTTTTATTCTGTTTTTTATTTTTTGTTCTTTGTCTCTGCAGTCATGACACACTGCTTTGGTCTCGTTTCGCTTTAATCTGTTGTTTCCCCATTAAGCCTGCCTTAACTTCTGTACATTAAGAAGGACTTCCTGTCCCTGTGGAGCCTCTTACATCTTCATTAGCCGACAGTAATCCTGCCCATTAACGCCTTTGTTATCGGTGACAAACACGCAGGTCGTGTGACGGTGCGCTGACCCCCCGCACCCGCTGCTTCTCTTGCAGGTCAGAAAGCACAACTGCTGCAGAAGGCGTCTGTGAAAATTATCAACGACTCCGTCTGTAACGTGGTGACGGAGGGCCAGGTCACCTCCAGGATGCTCTGCAGTGGATTCTTAGCAGGAGGAGTCGATGCATGTCAGGTGAGACCGTGCGAGGTGTTCTGTGAGAAAAGTATCGAAAAGGGTTTTCACAGCTCTGTAATTATTTTTGCTCTCACTTCCAAAACCAATCCGAAAACACGTGTCTCCTCAATGTGCTCACCAGGGAGACTCCGGAGGCCCCCTGGTGTGCTTCGAGGAAAGTGGGAAGTGGTTTCAGGCTGGCATCGTGAGCTGGGGCGAGGGCTGCGCTCGTCGGAACAAGCCCGGCGTCTATTCACGCGTAACCAAGCTGAGACAGTGGATCAAGGACGAGACAGGGATTTGACGATGCCACGAGGAACAGCGAGGGAGTGAGTGAGCGAGCGAGCGAGTGAGGGAGGCAGAGCGGGGAACAATGTCCAAGTGCACAAAAAAAACGTAACGGAGGAAGAACATTTGTGTCTGAGTCGAGACGTCCATGTCTTCCCAGAACCTGTCCATGTACCAGAGGAATCTGAACACATGGACCAACTACTCACATCAGGGACTTGAAGCACTTTATTTTCTCGCACATACTTCCCTCCACCCACACACCCCCACCTCCACCACACACAGAGACCAACACCGTGTACAGTTTTTAAGTGTAAATTTCTGCAGTGCCTTTAAATCCCATTAATCATGTCGTGTGTAACTCCTTAAAACCAACCAACTTCAGAATCATTTAATCAACATTTTTTTAGCATATAATGAATATATAACAATATAAGGCTGACGCAAAACATTTTAAAAACTTAAACTCACCCCAAAACCATTGAGACATTTTTAAAAGATCTATTATCATGTATTTCTTGGTGACGTGCCCTCAGTCCTTTTTGGCTGCAGCACATTTTTGCACTTTGCTAATGGGCTGTTGCATTTGATAGCTGTATATTTTGGGGAGGTTTATTCATCGTTTCTTTTATTTTCTTGGAGAACTCTATCTGCTCTAACAGTGTCTCTGCTCCAAAATCAACTGCAGAGTTGTTGTTTTTTTTTTTTTTTTTAGCTCTTTCTAATTTCCCAGGTAGCAATTAGTTTCCCTTTTTTATCTGTTAAATATGAACTCACATTTGCTGAAACAACTGTAAGGCCAAAGATTGTAACAGTGGAGAAACACAGGGAGTTATTTTTGTATTCTATTAAAAGTTGTGAAAATTGAAAACATCCTGGAGGCAAGATATCGCATTCATCAATCTAAAAGTCCACTTCTAACCAGAGAGAGCGGCTGACACTAATGTTAACTATAGCAAGTTTGGTGAAAAACACCAGCTTTGTCCCCGTGGGAATATAGAGCTCGAGACTAAAGTGAAGCCGACTTTGTTTTAAGTTGCTGTTGATTTAAATGAGACTCATAGATCAGTATTTTTATTACACCTCCACCGATTCGTTTGCCCAGGTCGCTAGTTAAGCCGCGGGTGATTAAAGTCTTTACTCACGCTCAGAATCCATGGAGTTGTCACTAGTTGCCAGAGCAATGCAATGAGTTTTTTTCTCCCTGTGAGAATTTCCTTCTCCTTGGTCACAGCCAACTCAATTAAGTTGAAATCTAAGATTGAACAGAGCGTTTTCTTTGAGTCTGTTTGCCTTCGCCTGTAAGTGTTACGGCCAGCAGACGCAAACCAGAGATAGGATCCAGTGTTTTTATATTGAAGGGTAGAATTATAAATATAATAAATAATTTTTTAAAAATCAAATTTTGGCATTTAATTATTGCTTTGTGGGCTTTCTTTCCTTTAGTAATTCCAAAGTGTTTGTAAATGTGTATTTTTAAAGAAAGTGCAATACTACACACCTGTGTCCGTAATGCTTTGAGCATCCCACGATAAAAACATGAACAAACACATGGTGGTGTTTCAGATACAAACCTAGTCTAATCTTTTTGTTTTTGTATGTATATATTTTGGGGTGTTTTTGTTTGTTTTTTGCTGTGTTTTGGTGCAGACACACCTTAACTCGCATAGCAGTCAGTACATTTATTGTTGTTTAGGAATATACCCATGTTGCATGGCATTTGGAAAAACATTTTGAGCATATGAAGACATAAAAATAAATATATATTTTATATATTACATAAATATATAGAGATTTTTTTTCTTTTAAAACCCATTTGTTACATTTTAAAACAGCGAGGCTGTAATGGGAAAACACGCTTTGAACCAAAGGCTCTTCTTTATTCTCCCACTGACTGCGGTGACCTCAACCACAGCACTGTGTGTTCAGAGCCACTGAGTTTCTCCTTCAAGATAATTGGAAGTAAAAACAGCTTTTACAAGGTGTTGCCACAGGCACTGAACCCCGACTGTGATTAGGATTATGGACATTTTGTAGTCCACAAATATGTTGTTTGCATTTTTTTTTTTTTTTTATACAACCAGAAGTGACAATAAACACCTTTTTAACCAACTGCACGGCACATGATTGCGGTTTTATGTCTCATCGTGAATAATAAATGCTCGTCTTGTGAGACCCTGTCCCTTCTCACAGCGGAATTGTAATGAGCGCATACCTCTCCTCCCCGCCGTGCCTACCTGGTGAACAGAGGTGACAAGACAAACTTGTACTGTCAGATAATACCTGCCTGTGTTACCGCTCTATCCTATTACACTACAAGACGGGCACGTCGGCTACAGCGGGGGTTCTGCTTTCTCATCTGTCTTCATTAAAAGCGTCCCACCACTGGGGGAATGGGAAAATCAACACAGACAGTGCTGCTAATTTATGTATTTATCATTGTTGCTACATGGGAAGCTTTGTTTGTCACCGCTCCTCGTGCCCAACCGAGCCCCTCACCGGGCCTATTAACACCCACCACTCACGCCGAAGCAGCTCTTTATCAGAAATGGTTTTATTTAAATATAAATATGTGTACAAAGGTACAAGCAACAACAGCTCATTTTGTTTTAGCAAATAAAATTCTTAATACATTATTAAAAGAAATCAACAAACAAATGGCAATTAGTCGTGTTCAAAGAAACGGCATTCAGTGATTGAAGAACAGCTCAGATGTGGACCCCCCCCCAAAAAAAAAAAAATTTAAAATCAACCGAGGTTGAGACACATGAATACAAAGATACTTCACAAGAGAGCAGCGTACACGCTGTACATTAAGGCTTATATAAAATAGAAAAATAAAGACAAGCGTTGATGTTTGCCTCTTCACTTTGAGTGACGTTAGCGCTCTCGTCCGGCTGCCTGCTAGCAGCTTCGTAGACAAATGGCAGTACAGGCATTCACAATGAAACATCCAGGAGGAGGAAAGCACCCGGGCCGGGGTCACAGGTCAATGTGCCACACATGAAATGGACATGAGTACAAATGCTGAAGAGTTTCACTAGACACATCATTTGCATGCAACACAGAGAAAGTATGAGCTGGGCCATTTGTACAGATACTCGGTGTTTTCAGGGTAGTACTGTTTTTTGTAAACATGTTGAGACAATTTTTGATTGAGTTGTAAAACTTGACGAGTGTACGGTCCACACTGGGACGGCCTCACACACCACCTGAGCCTGCTGAGGACGCTGCATTCATTTTTCAAGTTTATTTCAAGGTCTAGATTGCCACCGATTTTCCAAACGACCCCTTTGATTGTTCAGGTGAGAGCCGACTCTTCATTTTACAATCGGGAAATACAGCGGAAAAACAAATGTCCAGGTCGGACAGCGGTACCAACCGCCTCAGCACCTGTTTTTTCCCGACACAGTTTTCACCATCTTTGGGTTTTCATGGCCTCTCTCTGTCACTGCTGGTCACAGCACACAGTCCTTCATACGATTAAAGGCCGAAATACACATTCTTATCAAATCTCCTTCTTTCATGGATGCTGTCAGACCATCCAACAGGTCATGGGGTTTTCACACCTCAGGCCAAAGGTGTTTAACGTTAACTGATGCCTCCTCCGTTCAGTGCCATTGGTCAGTAGAGCTGGACGGTTGTGCAGAGTAGTTGACGTTTGTCTCTGTGTACAGCTCAGGCTCATGTTGACAATAGAGACTCAAATGTGCTTAGAATTCCTTTCGCATGCCAACGGAATATAAAAAAAGGATGAAAAGAATGTTTTTTCAGAATGTTTCTTGTCGAATACGTCTTAGACCGTCATATCTCCTGTCGCTGTCCGCCGCACAAATTCCAGAGATGCACTTGGTTTATTTTCTGGTTGGGAACAATCTGTCCACTGCTTTGGGCAGACGCCACAGTCTGTCCAATCACCAGCTGTTGAACAGTTAGCATTAGTAGTGTAGACCCTCCTATTGGGTCACAACAGGTAGATTATCCCAAAACCCAAATCCCATGACTCACTGTCCAAACATGTCCCTCAAGGACTGTCCGTGTTAAGAATGTATCAGTTCGTATTAGTGTGACCTCCCGTATGTGGAGGTGACAACAGTTCTTCTCTCTGCTCCAGTTCTCGTGTTCGCTTGACTTTTTTTGGGGGTGTCTTTTCAGACATGAGTCTGCATACGCTGTGAGGGCCGACCGTAGTCGGACTGCTGGGAGGACACTTGTGACGAGGCGTAAGAGAAGCGGGACGAGCTGGACACCTTGCTGGCCTGATCTGATTGGTCGTACGAATCTACCTTCTCGAAGGAAGCAGGCTTGACGTAGCTGGTGAAGGCACGGCCGTAGGTAGCAGGTAAGTAGGCGGAGCCGCTGTAGTGGGGGTCAGTGGGGTAAATGGTGGCTGGCTGGGCGGCCTGCTGCTGTTGGGCAGCCTGCTGTTGTTCGTACGCGGTTCTGCCTGCTGTGGTAGTGGCGTATCGGTGGGAAAAGTCATAAACTCGGGGCTGAGTACCGTGCTGGCCGTAAATTGGGCTCGGCGAGGGCAGCTGCGACGGAGTGTAAACGGGTCGTGAGTTGGGCACATACTCAGAGAAGCCAGCGTTGCGGACGTGGCGGTCTTCATGGCCACGGACATTGTAGTATCCGTTAGTGGGGTCCTGCGAGAGAGACAGGCAGAAATAAACATGAGCCTTTTAAACCTGGGAGTGGTTTATATAAAACATGGTCAAAACTAAGGAGACTTTTAGCATTTAGCAGCATTAACGGTGTTCACTGTAGGAACTGAACAAAAATAATTCTGGAATATGCTATAAAAAATTTTACATTCTTGCAATTTAAACACCTGCAAAGCCTGAAGGGATTGAGCTTTCTGCAAGAGTTCTGATTGGTCAGATGCAGGTGGCCAGCACCGTTGCCAGGTCCACTTTTTAGAAGCTACTTTGTGTTTAACGTGTTCTTGAAAATATGGAAACACCGTTTACATTTAAACAAAACAAAACCCTACCATAGGTTGTTAAAGCTGGGCTATATGTGATTGGCTAATAATTGTCTTTAGTATGTTCAATAATGACCCAAAAAAACTAGATCAATTAATTCGTTAAAAACGCATGGTCACAGGTAGCGGCGTTTGCCTTTTAAGCTGGTTGCGTGTTACTCGTCAAATCTGGCAACCCAAGGTCGACAGCTCAAATGGAAGCCAAAAACAAGAGGAGCAGCAAAAGTTCTTCGGTAAGTTTTAAATCTCTCTATATCGTTACGTGACAACGCACGAAATTCTGACTCTGTTTTTAAGTTTTTATTGTGTTTTAATTATAATTGTATTTTTATGGTGAAACATCGTTTAAATCTGCGGTTTGATGAGCAGCGTTTCACAAGAACTGTTGATGTGGTTTCTTCTACCCCACTGTGCTATGTCACAAATGACAAATAAAGATAAGTTTAAGTTTAAGTTTAAGTTAAGTTTCTGTTACATCATAGTAAATCTGACGTGCAGTTTCCACGAATGATGTGAAGAGCAGAGAATTATTTTAAATGTTTTAGAATATAGTTTTCTTTGGCCTGAGTTGAATTTAGCCCTGGCAGCCGTTGTAAACAGGTGCGTTTAGTGATTAAAAAAATCCTGGCGATTTCGCAGTGGAACTGTTCATCCATCAGTGAAGGGAGACTGTTGTCAAGAATAGACATTGAACTAAAAATGTTACATCAGTTCATGTGATCTTACATTTTAAGATTATATGTAGTCTGTTCATCTGGGCCATCTCTTGATACCAGGTCTGTAGTTATCTCTAGATTATGTGGGGGTGAAAAACAGTAATGTAGCCACATTGTAAAAGAGTGGTTTCAGCTCATGCCTTACAGCATGAAGTAAGCAGTTTGATCCCGATACTCAGGCTCCCACACAAAAACAGTTTTTTGGATCATTGAGTGTGAATGCTTGTGGTGTGCAGCCCGTGGGCTACTGTGAAGAAGATTGGTCTTGTAATCTGAGGATCTCGGGTTTGAATTCTAACATCACAAATGTCCCCTCTCAGTGGGACTGGTTAAATCTTGGTCTTCATAGATGCAGAAGATGCATCCATGAAAACAATAATATTGTACTGATGCAGTAAACCTATGGATCAGGGTATTAGAACTGTGATTGCAGCACCACCTGCAGGTGAGTGAGCTGCCTGCGTTTTATAAACAGTACTGTAAGCCAGACTAGTTCTGCACTACATCTTTAAGAGTCCAGTTATGGTAAAACGTGGTTTTATGCAGACGATAGAAGGTGATTTAACTGCAAATAAAAAGATAATTTAATAATTTTGCCACAGAAATAACTCCCATAAGCAGGTGTGTTCTTCAGATACAGAGATGATGCAATGACTGGAATTTGCCATAGCAATGCTGCATGTGAATGGCCTCTTTACAGTAACACACAGACGTACAGTAGAAGAACAGTGTACGCTGGTCATTTTGAAAGATGTTGCCCAGAAAAGTATTTTTAAGTTTTACCTTGATGTCCGATCGTTCGTCGTCCTCCTCTTCCAGGAGGTCACTGTGTTCTGTGCGCGATGTCCCCGGAGACTCACTGCTGTTTGGAGCCTGAGGAAAGACCCGCCGTTTTTGAATAATTACTACGAGTAACAAGACCTCATTTAGAGCGCAGAATTAATTCTGAATGTCATGTTACAGCGTTAAAGTGACTTTTTTCTTCTGGTCATATGATGAAAACGTACCATTGGCTCTTTGACGTCCTCCTCGTCATCGTTGCCACGCGTAGCATTGTGGTCGCTGTGAACGATCTGAACTCTGATGTCACTTTTAGAGAGACGAGTGCACCGTTTACCTGTGGAGATTTTGAGAGGGATTTTTAACATCGATACTGGTCAAAGAAGCTGAAAAAGCCGATAAAGGAAAGTGATTTCAATCTGTTGGACGTGAAGAAGTGGCCGAGGACCCTCTCGCCCATACTAACCGTTGAGCTCACCTTTGCCTGTGTGCCTGCAGCAGAGGGAAACCAACGTGATGACACAGATGAGCAGGACACAGCCTCCACCCACTGCTCCACCAACTATAATCAGCATAGGCAGAGCTTCTGGAACAAGAACAGACAAGGGAGACGGTGAAATTGAGATCGAGGTTTGAGGACACGATGTGAAGGAGACGACGGCAAGTGTTGGTGTCAAGACGAAGCAGATCGGAATAAAAGACGGAAACTAATCCATTAATTTGTCCTGCTAATCCCAGAATGTCAGTGCGTTGACACAAATTCATCTTTGGCGAGCCCTGACCTGCGCACAGCTAACCTATGCTCAAGCGGGGAATCCGACGCCCCACAGCCTGGCTATTGTCTCTAATCTCTCTGAAAGGAGGGTAACAAGGCCTGACATGCAGTGAAGCAATAGACAGTAATCTAATTAGAGATTCTAGGAGATACTGCTGCCCATCTCTCTGGAGAACACCCTCTGCTACGTTGATGTAAATTACTGGTGAGCACCTTATTTTTGGAATCTGCAGCAACAAAGGCTCCCACTGACATCAGTATAATGATCACTGTGCCTAATCCCAAGTTCACTTACAGGGGAGGCAACCGGAAATGAGCTGAGCTTGGCTTTGAGACATTGATAGAGGATATGAGACCAACCACAAACACGTGTGGCTTCCTCTAATTGACTTTTGTCCCTAATCAATATCTATGTTATGGGGCAAACATATTCATTAAAGGAACCATCTGCTGATTAAATCATATCGATTGAAGGAACATAATTAAGATAAGCACAAACCAGGAGCGTGGCTTTCACCTAATCTCCCCCTCTAATTTTAGTTTTAGAAAAAGTCACTTAAAGTTCTCTTCATGATTGTGCAGGATCAGTGTTAATGCTTCAGGCGGTTCCTACCTTGCTCCTTCAGTGTGACCAGGACGGTGCCAGTACCAAAGCGATTCCAGGCGGTGCAGTTGTACCGCATCTCAAAATCCTGTGCCAGAGTCTCGGAGAACACCAGAGAGGACAGGACACCATGGTCACTGCCGACTGTCTGCACCGAGTAACGCCCGGAAGAACCAGAGGACAGGCTCATGTCTCCAAAGGTCCAGACCTGTGTAGAGGAACAAGAAGAGATACCAGAGGGTGTTAGGTCACTTCCTGGAAGAGTCCCAGTCTCAGTCCATCTCTGCTGCTCCTCCTTAGATCCCTCTCTGCAGCTGAGAGAACTCTCTCTGTTCTGCTTTCTCTACGACGACCTTTATGGTTCTCCATGGCTGACGTAGCTCACAGGCTGATGTTTAAGCTGCCTCCCACGTCTGCCCTGCAGGTGAGGCCTGAGGAGGGTTAGGTAGCTGCACAAGGAAATGAGGCTCCTCTGTGCTGCCTCGAGCTCAGGGCCAACAGGGCCAACAGGGCACCTGTCTCTCACTCCTCCTCACACCCTAATTATCCTCTCTCAGCCCAGCGTACATTCAGCAGTTCAACAGGGTCAGCTGAGCGATGCCTCCCGGGCCGCTAATTGAATGTGGTTTGGCTGAAACCCGAAAGAACAGAACTCCCACAGCTCCTCCAAATGTTCAGCCACTGTCTGTGTTACAGTTGTGAATATGTGTGGAGACGTGTTTGTTATCAAGTGGCACAGTGATGTGCTGGTGAAGGTTGGTGTCAGGGGTGGAGTTACACCGAGTGGTTGCTCTCAGGTGGGTGTAGATGACAAGAACATAAACGTTGTGGAGCATCTGTACGAAATGCACGGGACGAAAAAAGAAGTTTAACTTACAATCTTGTCAGGTGGAGGGCTGCTCCCCACTCGGCACTCTAACTTGCCCTCGGAGTGCTTCACAGCATGCTGCATGGCATCTGCAGTGATGATGGGTGGACCTGATGTGTTGGGAAGGAAAGACAAAAAGAACAGAGTCATATGAGGATCAAAGCAACAACATTTTAAAGCTATTTGACAAGCAAAGAATTCCATACTGGACTATTAAAAAAAACCCAAAAGAATCCCCTCAGATTACTGGTCCCCAGGAAGCATATAATATATTCATCTGCAGGATGCTGCCCTCAGTTGACATTTTCTTTTTTCCAATTCTTTGAAAAGGAAACGAATCAGCAGAGAATGAGTGCTGTGTGCTATCTTTCACTGGCCTGGTCTGATGGCATCATCTATTCTTCATTATCTACTTGAACAAACTCTCGTGAGCAGACTCTCACCATTAACTGTCAGGGTGACGTCTCTTTCTGCAACTCCGATGCGAGGCACGATGGCCTTGCAGGTGTATGTTCCAGCGTCTTCCTGGGTAACAGCCTTCAGGTGCAGGGTGTTACCGTTGCTGAGCACCTAGTGAGAGATCCACAGAGACAAGTGATTAGTGTGTGTTAGAGAGAGAAGGAGCCAGACAGGAGGAGGCACTGGGGAGAGGCTGCAGACAAAGGAGAGTGTGGAGGCGGCAGCGCGGTGGGCTGACCATTGTAACAAATGCTGTAGGTTGGCGTTTAATTCCATTGTTAAGAGCTTTAATCACAACATTAAGAACTCCTACCACCTCGGAGTGACCGCACTGCTGCGGTGATTGTTGTAATTAAACAGTAGGGACAGAATGGAGCGGTCCACGGTGTGCGCCGGCCCCAGCCTTTGGAGCGGCTACACACACTCACTCCTTAGCTCATTGATCCTGTCATTCCATCAAGCTGTGATTAATCCATTTACCTCTCCCTCATCCCCTCCCGCCCCCCTCTCCCTCTGTCCAATTTTTTTTTTTTATTTCAACACACTTACAGAGTAACCCAATTAATCCATTACTGTGGTTGTGTGAGGAGCAGCAGCAGTCGGTGGATTAGAAAAATGTCTGCGTGTTTCCCCCCTGAAGAGGGGCTAAAAGCATACCCTCTCAGGGACGACAGCATCACTTACACCACCCTGCAGCCTTCTTTACTGGTGGAGCCTGCTGCAGCTTCACTTCAGAAATTATATTAGTTGCCAGAAGTGAGGCTCCTATGGGACGTCATCACTGAAGGTGTGCTCGCTAAAAGACTTTTATCAGGATGATATAAATTGAAGGTGGAAATGTCTCATTTGTTCCACCTCTGTAATTGACTTTGAGGAAATGGATACTTGAGCGCCATCAGGCCTTTTTTAATATCACTGCAGCCCAGATGTCACCTTACAGGAACTGCACCTGCTGTAATTCCATTTGTCTGAACCACACCTTAGAAAACTTGTGGATGGATTGATTGATTGAGTTTGAGTGATGACAGCCTGTCAAGTGCCTTGATGATGCTGAATGAATCTTTCAGTGGACAGACAGTTTTCTGCCAGAGGCTTCAGCCCTTGGGGAGTATGCTAAGTCGAGTTGTTGAAGATACAGCCGGAAAAAAAAAAAAAAAACGTGCAGGGGGGAAAGTGTGAGGAATTCATGCCTCAAGGCCATGTGTGAACATTTCTCTCTGGAGAACCAAGATGGTGAGGGGGCTTTAGCACCAAGATGAGTTGTTTGTGGGGGCGGTGTTCCTTACCACACTGGAGCCCTGCTTGGTCCACGCCAAGGTCAGAGGAGGGTTTCCGGTCCACGCACAAGTAAAAGCTGCATCCATCCCTATATCCACTGTCATTGGCTTTGGCTCTGACAGCAGTCTGGGGCCAACTAGAGTAAAACAACACAGACAGCCAGGTAAAATCAATGAAAGAGTGCTTTCAATATAACATACTGTATACCTCCAGAAAATCCCTCCATACACAGGCCGGCCACAGTGAACACAGCATTTGCCTTGATTTAAACTCACATTGAACGTCGACCAGAGTGCTGACGTTGGTGCTTCCTACAGAATTGGACACCTCGCAGGAGACGGGGTCCGTAAAATAGGAGTAGTCCACCGTGGCCTCGAGGCTGTCCCCGTTTGCTTCAGGGATGGGGACTCCTCCTTTTGACCACCTGGAACAAATAAATAATCACGTTTCACAGGCAAATTAGTGGAGCGAAGGTAATTAGCCATGCGTGTCAAAGTGGCTATTAGCTGATTAATGAGTGGTGCCAATCACAATCAAATACTGCCAATCAAACAGCCTATTAATCTCAACGTTAAACACTCTGCATACTTTAACTGCTTTGCCTGGTAGGATTTCTACTGCTAGATTTTTTATGTCTTTTAGAAACTACTTTCTGCTTCAGATCTGGTTTTGTTTTATTGAGAATTGAAGGTAACATTAAAAGACAAAGATAAAGGGCTTTTATACCTGTATCCTGTAATTTCAGGATTGGCCGAAGCAGAGCAGATGAAGAGAACCTTTGCTCCTTCGGTTACAGTCTGAGGCTGCACTGACAGCGTCACCGAGGGGGGGTCTGTGCACAAGAAAACGTATTTGTCAGCAAAAACAATAGAGCAGATTAGGATGTGAACACAGCCAGGAGATGTGGCGATGGGCTCTTACGCTGGACGTTGATAGTGATGGACGTCTGTCGTCCAGCAGGGGCTGCTGGGTTAAGGACCCTGCAGGTGTAGGTACGTCCAGAGTCACTGTCCTCCGGAACGATTGGAAGCATGCTGACAGCTGTCTCCCTCTTCCCATCTTCCATCAAAGCCTGCAGGGTCGGGGGACATCGTAGTAGGACTGTCAGTATGTACCAGCAACAATCTTAAAGCAGTTTTTTCAAACTGACTCCACCAGGTTGGTAGTGCAGCTAAATATCAGCCCATTGCAGCACCAGTAAATTATTTGCCATTTCTGATCCCACTCAGGAATATCTCTATGACGCTGCAGGTCTTCTTTTTTTCATCTGGGAGCCATTTAAATTTCCATCCTGTTCCTTGGCACGCCAGTTAAATCATATTTTTTACGATGCAGCGGGGATATTGTGCTGTTCCCACATTTCTGAGAGTGTTCCATGTCAGCAGTCCTTATTTGTCATCATCTTTTAAATCTATTTACTGCTCAGAGAAATCAATATGCCTAAGTGAGGAAAGGTGTAGATTCTGAGGATACGGCTCACTGCGCTCTCACTTACTATCTCGTCCTCTCATACATAGGCATGCAAGGGGAAAAGTGTGATGATGAAGGTGCCTGGTGTGGCTGTGTACGGCAGTTGGAGACGAGGGGTGTTAACAGTCATGGAGAAAAGTGTCAGAGAGAAAGGACAAACCAAACTGAGCCTTTCCACTGGACAGACAAATCAATGGGCCGGGCCTTTCACTCCCTCAGCCGGACACAAAAAAGTATTTTCTTTGCTAAGATTACTTCCCTCCCTTTTGCCTCCTGTCACCCGGACACAGCATTATTCTCCCCTGTTTCATTTCGTAGCATTGGAAATTGTGTTTTCACTAAATGGCCTCACCAAGAGTTCACACTCATTTTTTTATTCTTCACCCCCGCCCCTCCCCTTTCCTCTCCTCCTACTGCAGCCTCCCGCCTCCCTAAATGTGGCATTTAGCATCATTTAGCGTGGTCAGAGAGCATGAAAAATGTGACACTTTCCCAGCCGTGCCTGGCTTATGCTCCGGCACATCCCAATTGTGTTTCCGCATTGTTGTGGGTGATTTCTCCTCGGCTGAAAGTCTACTGTATGAAACACTCATGCCTGTCTGAGCTTTAGCATGCTCCAGTTATGTTGTGGGGTCGTTGCATTAGTGGATGCATGTATTGTGTTGGGTTGGTGGGGGTGGGGGGGGGGGGGGGGGTGTGAGAGGAGTCCTAGCTAGTCAGCAGGGTGGGGGAGATGGTAGTGGAGGGGGCTGGTGAGTGAAAATAGGAGGGGGACTGCAGAGAGAGTGTGAAGAAACCTTGTGAAAGATGTTAATGAAAAAAAAAAAAAAAAGGAACCAAAGAAGAAACAGGAAGAAATAACAGAGCAGAAGAAGAAGAACCTCAGCCTGGGAGAAAAACCATTTCTGTTTTGAAAGGCTTTGCCCTTATTGCTGCTCACTGGTACATTTGGTGATCTCACGTGGGCGTCAGTGATTGAATGATAATGCTGGACTCGGATATGTTCTTCCAGTACCTTGGAATAAATTGCAGTCTCCATGACCTCTCCATCTCTGTACCAGGTGATCTCCGCAGCAGGTTTGGCTCCGGAGGCTCTGCAGGTGAGGTTGTGAGGCGTGTAGGCTTTCAGACGAACAACAGGGCCGCCCTCCACCACAGGGTCTGAAGGAGGAACTGTAAACCGGAACAAACAAACCGCTCAAAAACAAAAACAAGGGCCAGAGAACAGTGAGCAGAAAGTTTCTCCTTTTTTGGCTTTGCATCAATACACAAAGAGGCAAACAATGTCTTATGGCCATCTCTGTTTAACAAGCTGTGGTTTAAGGCAACAGAAGCAGCCAAGTCCAAATAATGTAACACGGCCTTATTCATTTCCTTTCTTGGGACTGGCATTATTACTCCATTTGCTCTTACTGGTGCAGAGAGATGTTTCAAGTGAATTGCTTATTTGTTCATTTATTTGCATGCTTTTGCGAGCACCACTGGCAATTCAAGCGTGCCACACCTGATGAAGGCGTCCATCTCCCCAACCAATAAGAGAAGGCACAAACATGGGGTTTGTGCTGGCCTTTCTCGCTCCCTCCACCAAACCAATTTCACTGTGTGTATCTGAATTGTCAGAGGTCCTTCCGCTGCCGAGGCACGGACACTAATGGAATCCGAGTGCTAGGTGATTTTAATTTCCATGCCGATTCCCCTGACTGCACTCCCGCCGTTGACTCCTTTGACTGTGCAGGATTGCTTTGGTCTCATCTGGCCACAGTGATTTACACACATACACGCACACACACACACGTGTGCCCTGGAAATGTCACACTGCTTACGTATGTCCATATGGCCACACATAAACATGAGTTGTGGGTGATTGCACCTGAGTCATTCAGCTCTAATGATAAATGAAATGCAGTGACGGTTACGAGGTTGTTGGTTTTTTATATATATGTATTTTATGTTGAAGGGACTCTGTTTCCAACCTGTTTGTGACTGTAGGCGGGCGTGTGATGACCAAACAGTTCTGCGCCGCTGCCGTGGCGACACAGAGTACCGGTGATGGATGTGGGCGAGCCATTTGAATCAAATCGTTGAATTGATTGTACTTTTCAGCTGTGACTTCAATTTGCTCACCATTTTGTGGCAAACTATCGGCGCCACACACCGTCTCACTGCTTTGTGGTCAGAACGCAAACACTGGTTGATTCAGGTGAGAAGATTTATGGTCCAAATCCTGCGCTGTTCTGAGCGTTAATGAAGCCCAGACAGATGACAGGACTAATTAATGGCCTAATATTCAGCAGCACTGTGGAGATTCCAATTACCACAGGACCTGTACCCCCTGCCAACCCCCCCCCCCAGTTTAATGTAAAACTGCCTCCAGGTTGACAAATAGTGTTGCTAGCTGTAAAGTTTGCAAACTCTTGACTTTAAAAGCATCTACGCAAGTCATTCAGGGCGTGATTCGTAAGGAAAAAAAGTACGTTTACAATATAGTTATTAGTTGGTGCAGGTATTGTATTTTTCAAGTAATGATAAAGGTTATTTTTAGTGACGTATTAAGTCTTTTTGTCTTTTGCACCTTTGTAGTTTGTGTATTCTGTGATGAAGACACAGCACCAGCCTGCAGGACTTGGCACAAGGTCTGGTGGTGAGGATCATGTATAAGCTGTGTATCTTACCTAGTACAGTGAGCTTGGCACGGTGGGAGCGCAGTCCTGCCTGTGTAGCCTGACACTCATACACAGCATCATCCGCCAACTCTGCCGAATCGATCAGCAAGCTGTGCTCGCCTGATAGCGGGTCGCCCATTAAGGAGTAACGCGTCCAGCCTGCGTGAAGCCAGCAGAGTGAACACAATCAGAGATAAACAAACAACCCAAGGAACATGAAATGAAATGGGCTAAAAACAACAGACTTGCGTCATGAACAAAGAAGGGGGGGGGGAAACAATGTGGCAGAAAAAAGCCACAGCACCTGACTGCACAGGCACAGCTGCAGGGTTAGCACGGCAGCGCCGGGCATGGAAATGCAACACGTGACGTGGCTGCTGCATGAGAAGCAGACACGATGAAGATGTGGAGGCTAAGGTCAAGAGGGAGCTTCTCCACCTTCACTCAGCTCTACTTCACATTTAAATGTCAGCGTGTGGATAAAAGCCAATTGATTATCCACCTACTTACAAGGCCGTTAAAAAGCGAAACAACAAATTAAAGTTTGGTGGTTGCAGCAGTTTGGCCTGTCTGCAGTACATTGTTGTCTTGCCATTCATTTGTGTAAAACCCCAGCGGCTGACAGAGGAAGACTGGGTCTCTAATGAGACCGGGCATTGATCGTGGTGAGACAGACAGAGACGAAGGAAGAAAAAAAAAAAACGCAGAGAGTGAATGGAGGCAGAAAAACAAAGGTCGATGGGAATACCTGGAAGGTCTCTCTCTCCGCCCAGTGCCAGGCCATCTTTGGTCCACTGTACCATTCCCCGGTAACCCACAATGACACATGGTAGAGTCACTGACTGCCCGGAAACAACCACCTGGTCCTGTGGCTGCTGACCAATTACCCCAGGCCAGTCCCCCCCCCCCACCCCCCCCCCCCAGTTTAATGTAAAACTGCCTCCAGGTTGACAAATAGTGTTGCTAGCTGTAAAGTTTGCAAACTCTTGACTTTAAAAGCATCTACGCAAGTCATTCAGGGCGTGATTCGTAAGGAAAAAAAGTACGTTTACAATATAGTTATCAGTTGGTGCAGATATTGTATTTTTCAAGTAATGATAAAGGTTATTTTTAGTGACGTATTAAGTCTTTTTGTCTTTTGCACCTTTGTAGTTTGTGTATTCTGTGATGAAGACACAGCACCAGCCTGCAGGACTTGGCACAAGGTCTGGTGGTGAGGATCATGTATAAGCTGTGTATCTTACCTAGTACAGTGAGCTTGGCACGGTGGGAGCGCAGTCCTGCCTGTGTAGCCTGACACTCATACACAGCATCATCCGCCAACTCTGCCGAATCGATCAGCAAGCTGTGCTCGCCTGATAGCGGGTCGCCCATTAAGGAGTAACGCGTCCAGCCTGCGTGAAGCCAGCAGAGTGAACACAATCAGAGATAAACAAACAACCCAAGGAACATGAAATGAAATGGGCTAAAAACAACAGACTTGCGTCATGAACAAAGAAGGGGGGGGGGGAAACAATGTGGCAGAAAAAAGCCACAGCACCTGACTGCACAGGCACAGCTGCAGGGTTAGCACGGCAGCGCCGGGCATGGAAATGCAACACGTGACGTGGCTGCTGCATGAGAAGCAGACACGATGAAGATGTGGAGGCTAAGGTCAAGAGGGAGCTTCTCCACCTTCACTCAGCTCTACTTCACATTTAAATGTCAGCGTGTGGATAAAAGCCAATTGATTATCCACCTACTTACAAGGCCGTTAAAAAGCGAAACAACAAATTAAAGTTTGGTGGTTGCAGCAGTTTGGCCTGTCTGCAGTACATTGTTGTCTTGCCATTCATTTGTGTAAAACCCCAGCGGCTGACAGAGGAAGACTGGGTCTCTAATGAGACCGGGCATTGATCGTGGTGAGACAGACAGAGACGAAGGAAGAAAAAAAAAAAACGCAGAGAGTGAATGGAGGCAGAAAAACAAAGGTCGATGGGAATACCTGGAAGGTCTCTCTCTCCGCCCAGTGCCAGGCCATCTTTGGTCCACTGTACCATTCCCCGGTAACCCACAATGACACATGGTAGAGTCACTGACTGCCCGGAAACAACCACCTGGTCCTGTGGCTGCTGAGAGAAGTAGGCTGCTTGAGTGGCTGCTGGAAGGAAAAAGAGAAGAAAAAAAACCCCACAGTGTGAATATTACATCTTTTAGATTTAATATTTTTCAATCTATTGGATGGACAATTTATTCTCTGCTCAGGACGCTGCTAATGGCATTTTAGACTGTAATGGCAGCACCGTTCTGCAGAGCCAGCAGAGATGGAGAGAAAGGAAAGGGAAACTTGCACGAAGGAGGTGGGGGCGGAGGGGGGGGGGGAGTGAGAACAGACTCTCATGAATGGTCCGTTCTCGCTGCTGTTTTGATGGCCCATGCTGAGACAGATGACAAAACTGATGTGTGGAAATATTCCTACCCTTGCCCTGGAATTGTGGCGTAGAGGAGTGAAAGTCAGCTGTGCCTCATAACTTATTTAACTCTTTCAGCAGACCATATGGCTGTTTGCTGGTTGACATAAAGCAAACACATTTCTGGGGAGGAAAAATCTGCCCCTCTTTCACTGGGTGTTTGTTAAAATGGATGTTAAACAATCAAAACTCCATTAAATTTCCCCGGGGATCCATTCGTATGAGCCAGCTGAAAGTCAGCACAGACACCTGTCACCGTTTCGCTGCTTTGTTTAAGTATGGGCGCAGGGCCTCACCGGATTGGCTGGCCCCCGTTCACGCAAAAACTGTGCAAATAAGGATCTATGCTTCCAACTGTTTGTGTCAGTATGGTAAAGATTGAGTATTACAAACCCAACTGGTTGGGGGAGATGGCAACACTCCAGAGGTAACTAATCTCAGGGAGCAGGAGGGAGGAGAGGGAGAGAGGCGGTTGGTTGGTAATCAAAGTGGGAGTCTGTGTGAGTTGGGAAGAGGACTTTAAAAAAAAAAAAAACCTTGCCTCATTCTTCTTTCTCCGTCTTTGTTGAAGGAGTAAAGGGTGGGGGGGGGCAGAGGAAGATAAAGAGAGTTCTATTCAGACTTTGCTAAGCCCCCACTGAACTGCTTCTCTTGGTGGGAGCTTAAACAGACAGGCCTGCCCCCCCCCTCACCCCCCCCCCTTCATGGCAAAGAAAGCTGGTGAAAGGAGGGCAACATACGGCGGCCAGAGACGTGCTATTGTCCTCTTGTCCCTCTCTTTTAATAGGCCTCTTCATTTCCAATCAATCCTGCTAAATGCAAGTTTAATAGCTTTTCAATAGCAGTGTTACCCCCCAGAGGGTAGCTGGGATTTCCTCCCTCTCTCACCCCTTTTTCTTTCTCCACGACTGTTCCACCTCTTTCTCGCTCCATTCTCTCTTTTTTTTTTCTAAGCAGGGTCTTCTGTGGTTGTTGGCAGTGTTTACTCCTCACTCAATTATCCACTTCATCTCAGGCCTGCACCATGAACTGAACCCTGAACCCACCCCCACCCCCGTCTAAAAAAATCCCACCCGCCGCTTCTGTCACCAAACAACAGCACAATTACAGCAGCCAAACAGTGAGCTCATCAACCTGACATCTCCGCAACTCGGACCGTTGGTATTTTCAACCACTGTCTTGATCAGGAATTTCTATCGTAAAAACTCTGAGCCATAGAAAAGTACAGGTTTCTCCTCATTTTTTTTACCAAGCCACAAATATAAATATATTGTCGTGCGAACATTAGCGATGATGCTAGCAGTGATGATGTATTGCAAAGTCAGTCAGCCAAGCCTCCAAGGCAACTGTCTGCTGTTCGTAAAGATAAAAACTCTGCCAGCAGTTAGCGACCAACTTAATCTTGTTGATGTAATTTCAATATCGTATTGACTACAAACACACATGTATAATATATGAGCATAATTAAAATTTCATTTTTATTTGAAAAGACTGTTTAGTCCAATGAGACAAAGATATGTTAGGTGAATTTGGGCTTCATCAATATAATCGACTTCACGTGTTTGGAGAATATCGGAATCAAAGTCAATATTTGTATTGATCCTCATGTGTTGTTGGAGTAACAGTTGCTCTGGCAAGAATATTTAAAAGAGAGTAAGACAAATGTACTGAAGTAAAAGAAATTGAGAATTGATAAAAAATACAAAAAGAGTTGCGATAAAATACAATCTTAATTAGAAAATATATCCAGTTCCAAGTGTATATATGTGAGGTAGAGGGTTTAATGTGCTAGGTGTAATACAGGTAATGCTCAGAAAGGGGGAGTAATTGGGTCATTAGGTATTCTTTAGCAATAATCACTAGTTTTATGTCATTTTACTCAAAACTCTTATTGAGACGCAGGTCGTGTTCATGTGTCACGCACAGCAGATCAAAGGAGCGTCAGCGTCTTCCCGCTCAGACTGTTATGTGTTCGTTAAAGGCCGTCATTTCCTCGTTGTACCTTCAGATACGCTGGTTTTACCGTCTGTCCTTTACTTTCTGCCTTTATGAGCCATTGAACACTTTCATGTGCCTCGTCTTGCAGAGCAGGCGAGCGGGTTAGAACCCCCCCCCCCCCCGAACCCCTTCATTCCTTGTACCAGTGAGAGTACAAACATTGATTGTGCATCTTGTTCAGTGTAACCAAATGTTTACAATAAGTAATAATTCACTGGCATTGGTTGATGGTTTAGAAGGATTACATGCCGCGGATTGTTTTTCTTTACTTCGCCCACATGAAATTTCTCATGCTCACATATGGCAATTAAAAAAAGGCGTGTGCACACACACACACACACACACACGGACAGGCAGTCATTTAAATATAGAGCAGAGAGTGTGTACTATGGCGTCGTCTCCTCACTGTACTGTGAGTGATTCACTGCTCTCCAGATCCTTTATTGAAAATGCTCAACAGAACATCTCCACTGGCTAATGACTCATGCCAGATTCCTTTAATTCCTCCTTGCTGAATTAGATAATTCTTTGACGGTGTATTAGCAGCTTAATTACATGAATTCGTTTCTGGTGGAGAGAGAGAGAGAGAGAGGGAGGAGCGGAACCAGACAAAGAGAGAGAGAGGAGAGGCAGAGGAGGACCACTGAGCCGTGGGGGTGAACGCTCATGTTCCTGATCTGCTGTGGTGCCGTCTACTGAGATGTGACCCAAAGATGTTGAAGTTTTTGGTTTTCTGTTTTCCAGACTTGAAAATTAAAAGTTTGTTCACAGGCTGAAAATGTAATATTATATTTATCTGGTACTTGATCCGGGATGTTTGGCAGTACAACTCGTGTTAGCTGTACCAGTTTTTTTCTGCCTTGAATGCACTTAGGGTTTTTACTTCCAAGTTGTCGTGTGTGTGTGTGTGTGTCTTCCCTCCACCAGTAACAAGGTCAAAACACATTTGGCCTGATGCATTATAATCCGGATTTCTTACAAATGGACACGTGTGTGTGTGTGTGTGTTCACGTTGTGTGTGTGTGTGTGTAGAGTTTGTGTAATTGCCTCTCTATGCTGTGTATGTTTGTGTCAGTTGGAGTAAGCGAGGAGGATGAAGCGGTGTTAGGAGTGCAGACTTAGGAGGGCACGGTTAGAAAATACTTTTGACGCGGTGACTTTTCCGTTTCTGTCACGTGGTCGGAGTTAAGTGCTCAACGCTGCCGCTTCAACCTGCACACAACCGACTAAAGAGCTTTGAGTCAAAGCCACCGACGAGGCCGCGCTGGTTCTGGTTCATCTAAAGTGACAGAGATGGCATCTAGATCAGGAAGGATCAGGAGGAGACGGACAGATGTCAGCAATGATCTGTCCACCGCTGGGCATCTGCCGCAGTCGCACTCCACTGTGTGTGTGTGTGTGTGTGTGTGTGTGCACCATAAATGTGCTTGTGTAAGTGATGGTGTGATGATGCTAAAGACCCAGAAAGTTAATGGCTCTGCCAATGACCTTTAGATAAAATGCAGCTGTGACACGCACCGTACAGTGCACGACACAGTCATTCTATGTTACAGCATCATAGTAATCTGCCCCCCCCTGTCCCCCCCCACACACACAGGCAAATACACAGACAA